TAGGGTACATCATGTGATGTAACTTCCTGTGGAAAATTCCAGAGGAGAGGCAGTTTCAGAGAAAAAAGAAAATCCATTCAGCTTTGGGTCTTTGGAACTTAAAGAACTTGGGAGAGATCTACACAGGACTAGAGGCAGCAGATCAAAAATTCAGGAGGGAGGTAGGGATTGAAGACATCTATCTCGAGGCAATCAGCACGTGGATGTCCATGGGGACAACAAAAAACCACCCCAGGACACAACAGTGTGTGAGCAGTGGGCGGAAGAGGAGGGACACACAAGGGAACAGTGGGAATGACGAAGAGGTAGTAGAAAAAAGGAAGGAGGAGAACCTGCTAGTGACATGGATGCCAAAGCAGGGACAAACTCTAAAACCAAGCGCGTGAGCACGCTGCCAGATGCTGCAGAAAGTCCAGGACAAACACCGATTTCTCCAAAAAACAGAGTCCACTGGATTATGTAAGCAAGGGGTCATTGAGGAAACCGTGCTGTGCTGATGCACTGATTCTAGAATAATCTAAAGCAAGTCAACCAACTACTGAAACGGGGCTTCACAATAGAAGGGTTGTGGACTCATACATCTATTCCCAAAGCTCAAATTAAAATGCCCCCAGAAATGTACCTATGAGCAGCTCACCAGAAATAGCAATTTTGAGATGCATATACATGTCAAAGTTCGAGGAGAATTTTCACAATTGGCAACACCAACGAAACTGGAGAAACATAATTTCCACCTGCCCTGGGAACTGTGGTGGTACTTAGGGCAGGATGATATTGACTCAACACCGTTGTTTGCCCCTTCCAGGGACCCAGAAGCTAACTGACCAGCAAATCAAGCTGTCACTCCCTATCTCATAGCAAGTTCTCCAAGCCAATCCAAACCCAGCCCAGCAGCACCCCTTTTCTAAGCTCATTTGGGGAACCTGCTTTCTGGAAGCACCCAGAGCCATGGGGTGCTGTGTCCCATCCCAGATTACTCCCCAGCAAGATGAGAACCAGGGGGTACCTGGGTCTCTGAATGCTGTATACTCCTAGTCTGGGAACAGGACAAGAGCAAGAGAAGGGAAAACAAAGGACTGACAGAATTCTGCGGCACAGGGAGCAAACCCAACAGCAGGGCCATCAAGATCTAACCTCCACTCAGCAGCCATGGACTAGATGAGCGTCTTCTAGAAACGGGACCCTGCAGCTGGGGCTGACAAAGGGGAAATTATCGCGGGTCCAAGAAAAAGCAAAGGTAGAACACAGAAGCTAAAGATTCTTTACAAACCCCGTGTGCCCAGAGATTCTGGGCCCGCAAAGAACTTATATTGAGTCACAAACCAGAGCAGAACAGGGCAAAAGGGACCACAGAAAAACACCTTCTAATGCAAAATAAAGGTAGCATCAGCTAGAAGCCTTGGGGGGAAAGGCTTTCTATATGTGTATCTATACACATTACGACAAGAAACAGAAGAGATGCTCATAAATTGTGTCCAAGTTGGCCTCAGTAGAGCAAAGAGTTGAGAGAGAATAAAAACAATATGGCACCAGTAAAGCAGGAAGACAGAACCGTGAGGAAAACACATCCTAAGACTTAGCCCAACAGAAAGGGGCACGGTGAGATTATATCCTAATAGCTACACACTGAAAACAACCCAAACACCCACTGAGAAATAGCGCAGATAAATGAATGGTGGCATATTTACATATGACGGGATACTGTCCATTAATGAAAATGAGTCGACTTCAGCTACCCTCAACAGCATGGCCGAGTCTTGCAAACACGTTAAGGAAAAAAGGCTGAGAAGCAAGAAGTAGATATGGCATGACCCCCCCCCCGCCCCACTCTAACCCCCACCCTGAGCTGAAGGGAAACACAAACACCATGAAACAGTGAGAGTGAGCTGGGGGTGGGGGTGGTTGTCTCTGAGGCAGAGGCCCTGGAAAGGGCCTTGGGGTGCTCCCGGGGGCTGGTAACACAACTGTCCTTAACCTGGATGATGGTTACATGAGCGTTCACACTCAAGAATGTTACTAACTGCACATTAATACTTTTCCATATGCTATTTTGACCAAAAAGTGTTTTAAAAAGGAAGGAAGACTACCGAAATAAAACCAGGCTTCCAAGAAACTAAAACGTCCATCCATAATGAAAATATGCTCCAAAGGCAGTAAAAAACAAAACAAAAAAAAAAAAACAGTTAAAATGACTGTAGCCTCAGTAAATCACTGATGTCGGAGGCAAACTCGAGAATGAACGCTAGAACGATGGGAGAAGAGACACGTGATGCGGAAAACAGAATGAAGACGTAGGGTTAGCAGGGAAGGCATGACATGCCCACACGCAGACATTTCCCAGAGGGATCCTGTGAGGACGGCGGACCCCAACATCGTAGACATAACAGAGTGGGATTACATCCTAACAGCCCCAGACTGGAGACCCAAACGTCCATCCTTCACGGGACGGATGCAGACTGTGGACATTCACGCTGTGTATGAGTGAAAACGGACGAACCCGAGATGGGGGCAAATTTTAAGGTTACGATAACATCACAAGATGACTCAACAGAGCATTAAGAAAACGGCCTTTACACAATTATAATTCGCACGTCTAGTAAGACTCCACATGATGCACCCTTAGTAGTACAAGATCCTGCTAACAAAGGTTGTAGATAAAGAAACGCTCGGGGCAGACTGCAGATGCCCTGGGGAACGGACAGGGAACACGACGCTTCTTTATTTCCTCCTCCACCTGGAAAGCATCTGGGTAAACGCTCCTGTAATGAATGATGCACAGAATGGACAAATGAATAAATATGAATGAATGAATGAATGAATGAATGAGTGTCTCCACCAATTCACCCCTGCTGAGCTTGTCGGGAGCTTCCTGACGCTAATCTGGCCAACTCGATGCCACTCTGCGTAACTTCCTCCCGGGCTGTGTTTGAAGAGAAGAAACGGAGACTTCCCAGAGTAGTGTCAGCCGGAGGCAGCCTGTGTGGTGAGTGGCTCTTTCCACGCCTGTTCTGGGAGGGCAACGGCTCATGCACTGGGCAAGCGTGGTCCTTCCACAGAAGGAAAGGGGCATTTACCCTGGAGATTAACAGCAGCTGGGGGCAGGGGACGGGGATCCGTCCGTGTGGCCATCCGCACGCGGGGCCGCAGCCAGCCACAGCGGGGCTGGGAGCGGGTGTGGTGAGGAAAGATGGTGCCCAGCTAACGGGCCACGGAGGGGGCTCTGATGTCCGTCAGCGTCCGACACATGAACCCCCTGTCCCACACCACGCGTCCTCTGAGGACAGATGAGTGGCCCCGAGGGGTAGGGCCTCTGGGCTCAGCTTGTCCCAGAGAACAGCAAACGGGCAAAGCCTCGGACGCTCGCCTGCACCGAGCACAACCTGCGGCTGGTTTGCAGACCCGCCTGCCTGCTCTGAACCCAGCGGCCACGCACGGCCCTGCCCAGAGCCCCAGGACGCGCCTCATGGAGCGTGAACGGTCAGAACTCAGGGTTCACTTGGCCCAAAGTAAGTAGGAGGAATCTTCCATCGGAAAATGAACGGCCCTTCTCCGAGCTGAGAGCCTCGATCACCCTCCCGAAGGACACGCGGCGTCTTCAGCAGCGGCTCCGGCCGGAACACCAGGCCAGACTCCACGGGTGACCCTGCAGGCCCCCCACGGCTCAGCCGGCCCACCTAGGCTTGAGGGCTGCGGAGTCTCCCCCACTCTTCTCCCGCCCACTGACAAGGCACCTTTCGGCCCCGTGTGGCATCTCGCCCAAGTCCACGGAGGGAGGTTCCGCCGGGCACCCTGGGGGTGGGACAAAATCCAGCCAGTGGCACGCCCTGGCTGGGGCCCAGATTTCACAGAGAAAAAAGCCGACGCTCTGAGAAGTCATCTCTTGGTGATCCATGCCCAAGCTGAGAGGGAAGAGGGAGGGAAAGGGAAAGCCAGGATCTGGGAAAGCGGCAGGTGATCTCCAAACTTCCTGGGTTAGTAACGTCAGCCTCTTTGAGAGTTTTCCTAACTGGGGACTTCCTGGCCCGTGCTCATGGCCTCTGCTCCGCGTCCTCATGGCCTCTACTCGGGGAGGCTTTTAGTCCCTCCCACCGGTGACAAAGCCCAGGGACCTATTCAAGGAAACACAAGTGCAAACCCACCCCCAAATCAAGGCACCACTTCCCTGGGCCCCGCCCCACACACCGCAGAGCCGCAGTCTTCTTGATGGTCACCTCCCTTTGGAGGCAGACAGCGCTCTACCACCGCCTCGGGTCCTACGTCTCAATGTCCTCTGGCCAGCGGAAGGCCAGGAGATCTGAGGGTCCGGCTCTCCTCTCCTGCCACCAGCCCCTGTCTGAACTGTGGTGAGCAGCTGCAGGCCCCAAGGGCCAGGCTCTGCCGCTTGGCTCCTGCTTCCCCCACCCCAGGCCTCCCCTGTGGCCCCTGCCTTCCAACCTCTGGGGCTCTCCCGCTGGCACTTGTGAACAAGCCAGTCTTCTAGATAAGCAAGCAAACCCGACAGGACCAGGAAAAGCTACCAGATGGCCCCATCCCCCACTTTCCTCAAGTCCTGCCAACTCAGCAGCAAGTGTGGCTTCGCCGGCCCAGAGCTGACTTTCCCCACCTTCTTCTTGGGCGTCACGGCCCTGCAGCTCCCACCCGTGCCCAGAGACGGCACGCTGGTCAGACCATGCCCCTTGAAAGCCAGTATGTGGGCCGTCCGGGGTAACTCTGACTTCTCCGTTTTAGAAAAGCCAATCAAGACTCCATCAACTAGAAAACACATTTTGGGAGTTGAGGGCCATCCCCAAGGTCAGTTAACAAAGAAACCAGAATATCCACCAGAGGGTTTTCAGGCTAGCGGCTCCGTCCCACACAAAGTCACTGGGCTCCTCCCCATCACACCAGACTTAGACTTGGCCGCGACAGGTGGCCAGCCCTGGCGCTTTCATTTCCAAGCGACAGCACCCTCCAGTGCCTCCCGGGGCCGGCTGGCCTTCCCGACAGGGCGGGCCCCTTACCGTCCAGCTCCTCCACGGAGATGTTTGCAAGCTGCTCGCTGTCGCTGCCAGCGGAGAGAGAGCGGTTGAGGTAATTCCCCTTGTACAGCAAGCCGGCGGTCACGTGGTGGAAAGGCATCTTTTCCCTGTTCACAAGAGAAGCGGGAGTGGGGAGAGAAAGAGATCGTCATTCATTCCTTCTTTCCTTCTTAACTTCTTTCCTTCCTCAGAGAGCCACCCTGGGTTCCAGATGGCCGGTGTCCTTTTTAACATAACAATCCCACTTCTACAGGGGAAGGAGGGAATGGAGGGTCCTCCAGGTCTGAACCATCCCCCAGACGATCTCAGGTTCTAGCACTTTCTTTGCTTTACACCTCGCTGCATTTTTGCCGATTTCACCATGAATCTCGCAGACTGTGGGACCCCATGTCACCCACCAGGCCTTTCCAGGTGAAAAGGAATCCTCTCTGCCCCTTTCCCGGGCCCAACAAACTCTCTTGTAGGTACTCATCGGGAATGCACATCCCAGGAACGTCGGGCTCCCCAGGGACCGGCATCCCAGCTGTGACTGTGCGGTGATGCAACCGGTCCACTCTTCCCAGGGAACGCGGACAATCCACTCACACAGCCCTCGAACCAGGCAGGAAGTGGCAGGCCCTATGTAAATGCACGGACGGCCTTCTGCACCTCGGGGAAGCGGTCCCCAGGCCTGGCCGGGGTGCAGACACCTGCAGCCAGCGTGGCTTTGAAGAACCCCCGCCCCCCCGAGACGCTCACTGCCGGCGGTAAAGGCAGGCAGCACCTCCGTCCAGTGTCCCACAGCAAAGCAGCTCCCAGCAGCCTCCCGGAGAATCAAAGCATCCCTGAGGCCAGACCAGCAAACCCTCCAGACACAGCATCCCTGCCCAGCCCTGGCCCTAGAGCTTAAGGGTTCCCACGGGGCCAGGGAGGCTAAGGCGAGAGGGAGGAAAGAGAGTCGGTAAGGACGTGGGAAGAGCGAGTGCAGAAGACCCAAGACCGGGCGGTTAGAGAGCTGGGCTGCTTCTGAACAGAGAGCACACGACTCTCCTGGCAGTGCATGAGCTGCTGGGCACGTCAGCAAACGTGTTCCGCTTCCCTGTCTGCCAAGGGGGCTAAGCGGACGGACCAAGCTTTGCGTGGATTGAGGGAATAGGCAGGAGGTATGGGACGTCAATTATAGGCTAGGGGTGAAGAAAACCTCCTAACAGAGCTCCAGGAAGGAGCACTGGGCAGCACTGGAAGGGGTAATCCCCCCGTCACCCGGGACATTCAAGCAGAGGTGAGGGCCTCCCTGCCAGGGTTCTGTGGGAGAGAATGACCCCTGAGTGCTCTCCCCCCATGCTCCTCATTCCCCCACAGAAGTCACCTGCAGAGCACTGTTTGTTACTCAAGTTTGCATCTGTAGGGAGAGTGGGGGGAGCTGAAGGTCCCCTCGCGGCACGGCCGAGTGACAAGGTGTAAATCATGGGAAGACAGCCGGTCCCCAAGGATGACCGTTCAGGACACGCATCCCTCGCTGTCCCTCCAACCACCCTCATGACAGCAACTGTCCTAATCCTGGGATGTTGGAGTCAACGGGCACCAAGGGGGTGGGGCGGCAGTGGGAGGCTCTGCCTTCTTTTCCCTGGGACAGCACCGCATGACAAGGCCTGCAGGACCCGCCTGGCCTCTCTCCCTCTAACCTAGGCACACACCGCCATGTCCCTACTTGGGCTGGGAGCCGCTGACGTATACACCGACCCGCGAGGCTCCTCAACATGCGGGGCCTGATCCGGAACACGAACCCGTGGTGGAGGACCCGGTTCCAGAGCACCAGCCTCCCGAGCAGCCTCAGCCACGCCCCGAGGTTTCCCCCGGACGTCACGTTCTCATTTCAATCTCGAGATGTCTAAAGTGAATTTATTACCTTCCTAAAAATTGGGCCACACTTCCTGACTGTCAAAGGTGCTGTCCACTCATCAGAACTGGGACGTCTCTCACGAAGGTTCTGGGCCCCAGAAGTAAAACAGACACGTGGCGGAGGCAAGAGCCAGCCGTCGGGCTCCAAACCGCGCCTGCCCCTCCGCGGGGAATGAGACGGACATCGACGGGCCCGTCACAAACCCGGGGGGGGCCGTTACGCAGCACGACGGCGCCGATCCGTGACACGAGGAATGTCTTGGGCTCATTACGTCAGACTCACCCCTCCCGGCTGCATCGATCTTTACACGTCAGAGAGAACACGAGAATCTGTCTCCGGACAAACAGTTCAATGACCATCTCGTCTTTTCGCCGACTTCATTTCAGGACAAACGTGTTTCAAAGTGAGACTCGGGTGTATGAGTCAGGACGGCCTCCCCTCCCCAGGGCCGGTCCAGATCTGGGGGCCTGTGCTGTGTTTGCTCAGAACACGGCGGGAGGCTTCCTGTGCGGCTTGGGCTTCCCTCCCAGCACGGGCCACAGGACCCTGTCGGCCTCATCGGCTGTTCTTTTAAACACTGTTTCAGTCGTATAAACCGGGAAGACACTCCTTTCACCACCTGGGGAGAAGCCCCCCGTCCCCCTGCCAACCCGGGAGGTCAGCCCACGGGCAGAGAGCGTCCCCATCCTGGTCGCGGCTCCTCATGCCAGTTTCTCCTCCCGTTTCACAACCGCCTTCCCGTTGCTGACCTCTCGCCTGGGGGTCTGATGCTCCCAAGGCGCCCCATGAATTTTTATGGCCATGGTAACAAGGTTATACTCGATGGAACATATCCAAGCCTCGGCCCAGTTCAGCCACTGAGTAAATGTCCAGGACTCTGCAGAGAAAACTGGCCACCACTGAGTCCCCCTAGACAAAGCCGCATAATCTGCTTCTGGAAAAGGCTGCATACCAAATCAGTGCATTCAGTCTGCACCAAAACGCCCGTCTAGTGGGAAAGGAAGTGTGCAAGAGAGCCACATTTATGGACAAACGAAGTCTCGTTCAAGAAAGGGGAGAACAGGGGCGCCTGGGTGGCTCAGTGGGTTAAAGCCTCTGCCTTCGGCTCGGGTCATGGTCTCAGGGTCCTGGGATGGAGCCCCACGTCGGGCTCTCTGCTCAGCGGGGAGTCTGGTTCTCCCTCTCGCTCTGTGATCTCTCGCTTTCTCAAATAAATAAAATCTTTAAAAAAAAAAAAGTTTAAAAAAAAGAATTTTATTTATTTGTTTGACAGAGAGCTTGAGGGGGCATATAGGGGCAGAGGACAGAGGGAGACAGACAAGCAGACCCCCCTCGGGTGCAGAGCCTGGCCTGGGGTTCGATCCCAGGACTCCCGGATTTTAACCTAAGCCAAAGTCAGATATGTGATCACTGAGCCCCCAGGTGTCCCAGAACACACTGGGTCATTAAGAGGAGGTCAGTAAGGACCTGGCAGAAGGCACGGGGCACCACGGTGCGGAGGGAGCTGTGTCTGAGCAGCGGAGCCCAGGGGTCCCAGGGCCACATGCTGTCTGCAAGCAGCTCGCTCCCTCCGGAGGAGGGAGCTCTTTGCACGGAAGGCACCAGAACTGAAGAGGAGTGTGTTCCCGGACACCAGGGAGGCCGGCTTCACGGTCACCTCAAAGACCAAGTATTAAGAGTCTGAAACAAAAAGGTGCGGTGAGGAGGGTGGGAGGGGGATGTGTGAAACAAGTGAAGGGGATTGAGAGGATGCGTACCTTTTTTTTTTTTAATTTAATTTTTTTTTTTTTTTTTGAGAGAGAGAGCAAGCGAGCGTGGGTCCGGTGGGGGCCTGGAAGGGGCAGAGGGAGAGAAGAGAATCTTAAAGCAGGTTCCACACTGAGCACGATGTGGGGCTCAATCCTGAGATCACGGCTGAGCCGAAATGGAACCCGCTGAGCCACCGGATGCCCCAGGAGCACCTTATCATGGTGAGCACCGAGGGCCGTGGACAGTTGTTGAGTATCAGACACCGGAAACCAAAAAACACCACAGGCTATGCCAGAAGTTACATTCAAGATAATACACAAATAAATAAATAACGAAAGGGGCGGGGGCGGCTCCCATTCTTAGGGTCAGGGAACGGGTCCCCGGCAGAGTCATAAACAGAAGAAGCCACTCATCGTTGTCACAATGACCCTCCTGACACTTCATTTCCCGTCTGCTCCACTGGGCCACCCGGCGCCCCCATATTTACTTAAACATGTAACATCCGAATCAGAATCCGGAGGAAAGCCAGTGCTCCCCTATAGTGGGTGGGTCCCCTCCGGGCCGGGGGAGGCCGGAAGAGAACAAAGAAGCCGAGGGAGAATTCCTCCTCTGGCCTGACCGCTAGGCTGGGACCCCATCTTCTCCCACCTTCGGACTCAGACTCTGCCTAGAGCTCGCGCCCTTGGCTCTCGCGGGTCCCTGGCTTCCAGCCGCAGGTCCTGGGACCTCTCAGCCTCCCCAATGGTGGGAGCCAATCCCTTACAATAAGTCTCTCTCTTCACGTCCTAGTGGTTACTTTCTCTGGAGAACCCAGACTAATACATCTTCCTTTTTCTTTTGTCTACAAGAGCTAGGACTCAGGCACACTGCTGCAGGCTGACACTATTATTCTGGACAGATACCAACCCAAAATGTCCTTCTGCTGAGCCTCTAAACAATGCTCCTCCAAGTGTGGTCCGTGGACCATGGCCAGGGAACCTGCTTCCGGCTGGTCTGCAGTGAGATAAGGACAGGATTTGAAAGAAAGCATAGAAAGTTTTATGGCACTTTATAGCATTGTCCCAACGCCCAAGCGTGTGACCAGCTGACTTCAGGCTTCAACGAATCCTTCCCCACAAACAGTTTGAGACGCGCTGCTCCAAAGTCCTTCATTTAGGCCGTGTACGTTTCTGGTCATCAACCGCTGAGAGGGGGATAATAAAATCTAGAGAAATGCATTAACTTGTATCTGAAACTTTTTCAAATAACTTAAGGTTTTTTAAAAGTTTTTGATGGACTTTGGAAAGGAGGTACAAGACCTTGGTAGAAGTTTTTCTGCTCTGCAGGAACCCAGACCGCACCTAGAATCTACTGCAGACTTCACGGAGGTTCCGTCCTCTAATCACCAGACGTGAGAAAGAGGGGCAACATCGAACTTGCATCAAAGAGAACCGAGCCAGCCCCAACAGGGCCTTTACCAAATTCCCCTAAAAATAC